CGAGTGCTCCGCTTTGCTTCCCCCACATGAACAGCGCTGCGCTAAAGCAGCTAAAGCAGCTCCGGCAGGAACCGCGGCGACATCCCAGAGCCCCCCTACCCAGCGTGGGCAGCAGGAAAGGGATTGGGATTGTGCCCTGAGCCCCCTGAGGTGAGACCCCACCTGCAGAGCTGCCCCAGCCCTGGGGCCCAGCCCAGGGAGCAGCTGGAGCTGCTGGAGAGAGCCCAGAGGAGGCTCCAGGATGAGCAGAGGGATGGAGCAGCTCTGCTGGCAGCAAAGGCTGGCACAGCTGCCATTGTTCAGCCTGGCCAGGAGAAGCTTTGGGCTGAGCTCAGGGTGGCCTTGCAGGGCCTGAAGGAGCCTCAGGAAAACTGGAGAGAGACAATTGCCAAGGGCTGCAGGGCCAGGAGCCAGGGAATGACTTCCCACTGAAATGGGGGAGATTTAGGTGAGATATGGGGAAGAAATTCTTCCTTTTGAGGGTGGGGAGGCCATGGCAGAGCAGCTGGGGCTGCCCCTGGATCCCTGGCAGTGCCCAAGGCCAGGCTGGACATTGGGAGCTCCTGGGACATGTCCAGGTTGCTCCAAACCCTGTCCAGCCTGGCCTTGAATATTTCCAGGAATGGAGTGGAGAGTCCACAGCCTCTATGGGCAACCTGTGCCAGGGCCTCACCACCCTCATACTAAAGGATTTCTTCCTAACATTTGACATAAACCTGCCCTCCTTCAACTGAAGGCCATTGTACTGTCAATACATTAATATATGAGAAGTCCCTCTCTAGCTCTCCTGGAGCCCCTTCAGGCCCTGGAAAGGGCTCTGAGCTCTCCCTGGAGCCTTTTCTTCTCCAGGTGATCACCCCCAGCTCTCCCTGGAGCCTTTTCTTCTCCAGGTGATCACCCCCAGCTCTCCCAGCCTGGCTCCAGAGCAAAGGAGCTCCGTGGTTTCCTCTGGACTCTGCAGCAGCTCCACATTTTCTGGTGTTGATCCAGAGGCAGCTCAGAAGAGCAGAGGAGAGGAGAATCCCTTCCTTCAGCCTCCTGCTTGTGCTTCTCTTGCACCACCAGCACATCTGGAGCGTGATGGTATCAGCTCAAATCTCAAAACCTGTGTCCAGGACAAGCCAAAGGTTCCCAAAGAAAAACCTTTCGTAATTTAATATTTAACAGGAGCGAAAATAGGAGTCAGATCACTAAAAAGGAGTTGGGAGTGAATGTGTGTGCAGGTATCAGGTCCCTCCTGTGATTCATTCCCTAATTGATTGTTCAGTCAATCCGTGGAGATTGATGATTTTATTGGACATTTTAAAGTTGTTTTTTTTAAGGTGGGCTTAAGTCACAGAGTTTGGATCTAAATCGTCACTTTTGACCACAAATTCGCAGTTATTCTGAGGTGAGAACCTCCACATCTACTTGTGGATTTAAAAAAAATGCTCAAATAATCAAGTTATCCTTGTCTTGGCTTTATTTTCCTAAAGGACAGAAGATCAAATCATAGATTTTTCTTGGACTTTCCCAAGATCCTCACGGGAACCACCACATCGATTTCCTCAGGACTCCATTATCCTGTGTGTTAATTTAGTCAACACTTCCACAGCTCTTTGGAATTCCAGTGAGTTGCCTCTGTGTGACTCCATTAATCCCTCACTGCTGGCATTCCCAGAAAATCAAGGTGATTCCGGGTTTGTTTTATCCCTCGCCCCCAGGTTTTCGTGGATCACACACTTGAGATCTTCTGGATTCAGAACCTGGTTTTTGTACTTCTCTCCCCAGTCCTCCACGATGTACTGGTGATAGGGATCGTTGGAGTGCTCCCTCCTCTTGGATTTCACCGTGCTCACCAGGATGGCCACGATGATGAAAGAGAACATCCCAATCATCACCATCAGATAGAGGATAACGTAGTCAAAGTTTTCAGCAGCCACCTCAGCCTGCAGTTTATTCGCTGCTTCTGTCATGTTTCTCCTCCAGCTGTTCATATAATTGAGGAAAGTGTCCTTGAAAATGTCTTCCACTGCCCAAGTGAAGTTTTGCAGCTTGGCCATCCTTGACAATTATGCTGCTAAATTCAAGAAAATATTATTTTTAATCAGATGACTGTATTAAAAGAGTTGGTTTGGAGTATTTTGTCAGTGTTATGACAATTATCTAATAACAGTCACCCTCTGACAGTTGAAGGTGCAGTTCTAGTTCAGCTGAGAATCCCCATCTCCGGGTGGTTCAATATGTTCAGAGACCCAGGAAGGTCCTACTCAGAATCCTGGAATGGTTTGGGCTGGAAGGGACCTTAAAATCACCCATTCCACCACAAACCATGGCAGGGACACCTTCCACTGTCCCAGGTGCTCCCAATGTCCAGCCTGGCCTTGGGCACTGCCAGGGATCCAGGGGCAGCCCCAGCTGCTCTGGCAATTCCATCCCAGCCCCTGCCCACCCTGCCAGGGAACAATTCCTGCCCAAGATGCCAAGATCCAGCCCTGCCCTCTGCCCCTGGCAGCCATTCCCTGGCTCCTGGCCCTGCAGCCCTTGGCAATTGTCTCTCTGCAGCTTTCCTGGGGCTCCTTCAGGCCCTGCAAGGCCACCCTGAGCTCAGCCCAAAGCTTCTCCTGGCCAGGCTGAACAATGGCAGCTGGCCAGCCTTTGCTGCCAGCAGAGCTGCTCCATCCCTCTGCTCATCCTGGAGCCCACTCAGGTCCCTTTGCTCTGGGGGACATTTTGGTCAGGGTCCCCATGGCCCTGTCACAGGTACACTGTTCCTTCACTACAGAAACTCCAGGGGAAGAAGGATTTCTCCTGAGGAGAAGACAAAGACATGGGAGGGACGTGGAGGCTGAGTCTCCATCCCTGGAGTTGCCTCAGGGACCATTTGGGAAAGTCCCCAGAGAGGCAGAGACACTGCCTGGTGCTGCAAAGCCACGTTTGATCCCATTTGTCCCAAAATTTAGACCCTTGTGCTTCTCAGACTCCATGAACCAGGTGTGTGTCCCACAGGAGGAGAATCCCCCTGCAGCATTCCTTCCCACCAGATCCCATTCCCACCCAGGCTGTCCCACTTTAATGTGGGCAATTCCTTCAGTTCTTCAGGCCAACTAAGCCCTAAAACCTGTGGAAATCTTTCCCCCAAAGCCTTTTGTTCCCAGTCCAGTCCTCAAGAACAAGGAATTCGCTGCATGCAATGGGAAAAGGCAGTGAATTTTCATTGCTGATAAAAAATTAGGGATGTCTTTCCATTCAGGAATTCAGGAATTCAGCCTTGTGTGCACACAAAGATTCAGGTACACGTGCAGGTGGATCCCTCTGCAGTTACACCCTCACACGTGCTCAGATATAGGGGATAAAGGTAATTAATCAAACTTAATGAGAAAATAGAAATACAGACTGCCTTTACTGTCTGTAAAATCTGTTTTTTCCTTGATTTACATCCAAATTTGCTATCATTTTTCAAGAGGAAATAGACCTAACAGCAACTTACCTTTGCTGTGTCTTTCCCTAAGGAGATTCAGAACACTCAGGATTTTCCAACTCCACTGGCTAATGGGATGAAACTCCCCAAAAAGATCAGGGATGTCTTTAAGGAGCCTCCAACCTGCACAAAGCTTGGAGCAGCTGCCTGTGAAATAAGTGCCTTGCACTGCACGCTTTATGTTTATATTAAATTAAAAGCTAAATCTAATCTCACCTGGAAAGTCAAATATTGGCTGACAGCTTGCATCAGTCATCCTGTCGGATCTGGGAATGAGCCTTTGTGCTGATTGCTGCAAGTTTAGGTATTGGAAAAGGGCTTTCCTGGGGATAAATGTGGATGCAACTCCATTTTTGGTGAGCCAGAAGAGTAAAGATCAACTCTGTAAAATTATGATGATAATAATTATGATGAGAAGAATTCTTGGCTGTGAGGGTGGTGAGGACATGGCACAGAGTGCCCAGAGCAGCTGTGGCTGCCCCTGGATCCCTGGAAGTGCCCAAGGCCAGGATGGGGCTTGGAACAACCTGGGATTGTGGAATGGGATGATCTTTAAGGTCCCTTCCAACCCAAATCATTCCCTGTTTCTGTGAATAAACCAGTAGCACCAGCAGGGATAAAAACAAGAATTTCCTTTGCTGGTCTGGGCACAAGAGGTGAGCACTGAGCAGTCAGACTGCTCAACACCCAAAATAGGTATTCTTTTTCTTTTTCTTTTTCTTTTTCTTTTTCTTTTCCTTTTCCTTTTCCTTTTCCTTTTCCTTTTCCTTTTCCTTTTCCTTTTCTTTTTCTTTTTCTTTTTCTTTTTCTTTTTCTTTTTCTTTTTCTTTTTCTTTTCCTTTTCCTTTTCCTTTTCCTTTTCCTTTTCCTTTTCCTTTCCCTTTCCCTTTCCCTTTCCCTTTCCCTTTCCCTTTCCCTTTCCCTTTCCCTTTCCTCACTCATGAGCTAGAGCAGAAAACCACAAAAACTTCCAAAAAAACCCCCAGAAAACCAAACCAAACAATAAAAAAAAGAGAATGGATGAGTGTTGACTTTCTTTCTGGCAAACAGCACATGCTGACACCTCTGAGAGGCTCTGAGACACCTGAGGGAGCAGGAATTTGCTGAGGGAAATGAGATTGAAAAGAGAGAGGAAAAGGAAAAGGTTTTGGTCAGGAGCATCAGCAGCAGCTCCTGCTCTGGTGGGGACATCCAAGGAAGGGGATTATGGTGGGGCTGAGGTGCAAAATGCTCCCCAAGCACTTGGGCTGGGACAGGCCTGCTGTAAAAAACACATTTTCATTTTACAGCCAGTCCTGCCTAAGAAATGTCATCTTTGAGGGACAGGAAGGCAGCGTGGAGCGACCCTGAAGCCACAGCACACCCCAGAGAGACAGAGATGTGCTCCTGGTGTGGCTGATCCCTGTGGGAACTCCTGCCATTGCCATGGTTACTGCTCTCCTTGCTCCTGGAGATGTTCTGAGATGAAACCTCCCAGCACAGGGATGAGCTGCTGGCAGCATTTCCTCATGATCCCACATTTTTCCTGGCAGGTTCCCTTGGCTTTGCCCCCAGGAGTCCAGGGAGCTGGCACAGCTTCTCTGTGCTCTGAGAACCCCAGAGGGACCTCCCTGTGCCGTGCACAGACATCCCCTGGATGATCCCAGCTGGAGAAAGTCACTTGGAGCTCTTTTATCTGGCTATGGAAATGAGACAGGAGCCTGGAAGTTCCCAAGTTCAGGAATAACTGCCAATAACGTGGGTATTGGCAATTAATTATTACATTTATCCCTCCTTCAACCCCTCTGTTCTATCAGCTGTTCCTGGCCAGGCCTGTTCCAAATGAAACCAAAGATTCCCTGAATAATCCCAGTCTGCTGCTTGTCCCCCTTTGCTCAGGGTTTGCTGAGTCTGGAGAGCAACGAGGTGGTCAAGGACAGACAGGGTGGGAATGATTAAACAGGAGGAGCAGACAAAGGGCAGGAAAACTGGAAACCTTAACATTAGTCTGAAACTATTGCCAAGCAAAATGCTCCTGAGCTCATGAAATAATAGAATAATGGGATTCCTGTGTGGGAAGGGATCACCCATGTTTTGGAGGTGTGCTAGTTTTGTATTAATTGGTTTGTAGTGAAGAGAGAAAAACATTAGGTATGGAAGTGATTTGTGATATCTCAGAACAAAACATAAATAAATAGTTCTAATAAGTGAAAAAAAAAAGTTTAGCCAACATTAAACCCACTACATTCAATTAGTATATTAGCTAAAAAAATTCAAATTAGTGAACCAGAACCACTACAGGATGCCTTCTCCTACCTAAATGATTCTGTGATGCTTCTGGACAGCAGAAGACTGTTGTTAATAATGATCTCCCCCAGACATTTCCTTCCAGAGGAGTTTTCTCGATCCCTTTCTCTCCCAATATTCCACTGTTTCCCTCCATCACCTACAATAAACAAATGTGGTACTTTGGATGCCTTGCCCTATTGAGGCTGGATTTTCTTTTTAACTGAGGAAACCCTTTGGAATTGTTTATTTCTTATGGAACTGCTCTTCCATCTCTTGGGGTCTTTGACTGTTGAGTGAAACCATTGGGGTATTCCTGAGAGATCCTGAGACTTCATTTAGTGTGACAGAGTCTGATCACCTGTAATGACACTTTGGGTTTGTTTGACCCCCATCTTTTCCCATAGGATCAGAGGAACAGCTGCAATGTTGGCTGCTAACCAGAGGGATCCTGACAGGCTGCCCCCAAAATATTCATGTCTGGTAAAAACCTGCCTCTAAATGTTCCAATAACTCCGTGGCTGAGGGTCACAGACCACATTGGGATGTCCTGTCCTTAATTCCTGGTGGAGAAGGGACACCTGGGATGATTCTTTGTGGCTGAAGAAAAATCCCAGAGTCCCAAAATCACCTGGAGACTTTTGTGTTCATCCAGCATCAGCCCAAGCCCTGTCCCCAAGGGCCACATCCAGACTCCTCTGGGACAATTCCAGCGACTCCAAACCTCCCTGGGCAGCTCATCCCAAGGCCTGACCACTCTGTGAGAGAAAAATTGTTTCTAATCCCTAATCTGAGCCTCCCCTGGTGCAATTTGAGGCTATTTCCTCTCCTCCTTTCGCTTGGGACACGGCAGAAGAGACCTGGCTGTGCCCTCTGGTCAGGGAGTGGTGGAGAGAAATGATGTCCTGCCAAGAAAAGCTTTTCTGCCTCAGCCCAGGCTGCAGGGATGGAGAAATCCGAGGCAGGAGGAGGCTGCAGTGCCCAGCTTTGTTGCCATGGTTTTATGTGTTGCTGTTGCAAAAGCTTCAGGGGATAAATGAGGGTGTTGGCTGCACAGAGCCTTGAACTGAAAATGCAAACACGGATATTTCTGTCTGGGAAGAGCAGATGTGACACCTGAAATGCTCAGGTGTGTGTGTATCCCTCAGAGGGGAAGAGAAACTTGAGGTGTCCACATTGATCCCTTTGAAATATTGGGGGGTTCCCCATTCTTTCAGCTGTAATGAAAATCTTGGTGCTGCAGCTGAACTGCAACAACCTGTGGGTACCTGAGGGCAATGTCTGCTCAAAACATCAAGAAAGGCAAAGTAAATGATTGGCAGCAGCAATGGCTGGGGGTTTTTGGGGTTTTTTGGTTTGTTTAATTGCTTACGTTTGGGGTTTTTTTCAATGGTCTGGGTTGGAAGGAATCTTGAAGATCATCCATTCCCAGCCCTGCCATGGCAGGGACACCTCCCACTGTCCCAGGTGCTCCCAATGTCCAGCCTGGCCTTGAGCACTGCCAGGGATCCAGGGGCAGCCCCAGCTGCTCTGGCAATTCCATCCCAGCCCCTGCCCACCCTGCCAGGGAACAATTCCTGCCCAAGATGCCAAGATCCAGCCCTGCCCTCTGCCCCTGGCAGCCATTCCCTGGCTCCTGGCCCTGCAGCCCTTGGCAGTTGTCTCTCTCCAGCTTTCCTGGGGCTCCTTCAGGCTTTGGAAGGGGGTCTGAGGTACATGAAAAGTGCAAATGTCACCAAGGACAGTGACACAGCAAGGTGCTGTCTGTTCCCACCTCTCCTCTCCTTCCATGAAGTGGAAAATCTGAATCCAGAGCTGCTCTGCCCTCAGTGGCCGGAACCAGCAGCAGTGCTGGTGTACAGGCCCCACTGTCCCTCATGCCCCTCATGTCCCTCATCCAGGCTCTGAGCTGGGCCCTCTGCTCTCATCTTTACACACTTGACAGCCAACTGTGAGTCCTGGAAATAAAAGTGGGTCCTGATCTATCACATCCATATGGGCTTTTTGTCATCCTGGCATTTGCTTGGATGAACACAACCTGTGGAGCTGAAGCCTCACTGAAGAATCATGTTGGGCCCTCACAAGAGAGCCCTGGAGGGGCTGGAGCGTGTCCAGGGCAGGGAACGGAGCTGGGAAGGGTCTGGAGCCCCAGGAGGGGCTGAGGGAGCTGGGAAAGGGGCTGAGCCTGGAGCAAAGGAGGCTCAGGGGGCCCTTGTGGCTCTGCACAAGTCCCTGGCAGGAGGGGACAGCCGGGGGGGTGGGGCTCTGCTGCCAGGGAACAGGGACAGGAGGAGAGCTCAGGCCTCAGGCTGGGCCAGGGGAGGTTCAGGGTGGACAGCAGCAGGAATTTGCCCATGGAAATCCCTTTCCAAGGATTTCCAAGCTCAGGCCTTGGCAGGGGCTGCCCAGAAGATCCCTGGAGGGATTTCAAGCCATGTAGATGTGGCTCTTTGGAACAGGATTTTGGGGTGGACTTAGTGGTGCTGTTATGGGATCTTACAGGTCTTTTCCAACCTAAACCATTCCAGGTTCTCTCCACATCCACACAAGACTCCAGAGACAGGCGAGTGAGGCAGCAGATGGTACCAGGACAAAAGTTTGTGGTTGGCCTAAAGGAGAGACCTGAGGTTTTATTTGGGATTGCAGTGGGAAACAGTTCCCAGAACCTGTAGCCCAGGTGTGCAATGGTCACTATCATCCCGTCCCACCGCCATGTCACAATCAACTCCTCCAGAGCCTGGGGGTTTCCAGGGAATGGAAACTGGGTGAGGCAGCCCTGCTGAATTCCCATTTTTCCTGCCAAGTCCTGTCCTCCCAAAGCAGAGGGAGGCAGAGCAGCAGTTGCAGCTCCAGGCCCTGGGTTTGGCTGGAGAGTAGGGCTCTGCCAGAGGCCACTGATTGCCACAGCTCGCGTGGGCAGGGACAGCTCAGAGTCTGACAGGGCTGAATTCCCACAGCAGCACTCCTGCTTTCCAGTGCCATTCCTTCTCCTTTCATCTCCTCACCACAGTGGCCTGGAAGCTGGATCCAATTCCTGGATTTCCCGATTTACCTTATCCCCTTCTCCCTCACACTGCTGAGCTGTGGGACTTTCGTGCCACAGGACCCTGTAGGTGCAAACATTCCAAAGGA